TGGAAGGGCAGGTTTAGCAGACAACCCTGCCTATCTCCTGTGTGGCTCCTCCATCACCTTTGCTGTGTCACCTTTTTAGCCTATTTCCTGGGCATGGTGGCTTGGCAGGCAGCTTTGCCAATCCAAGTTATGCTCTCTGTTCCCGGAGAGATTTCTGAGTCCCACAGCCATCCGTAGGAGCTCCCAGTTTCCAACCTGGCTGAGAAGGTGGCCTCATCTTGGGCAGAACAGGTGGAGACTTTGGGACCATGAAGGGACATTCAGAGCCAGGAAAGAGGAAGGCAACACAAGGGGAGGATGACTTTCATATATATACACATATATATACACATACACACACACACACGTATACATATATACATATATACAAACATATATACATATATACACACATACATATATATGAAATATATATATGAAATACATATAAATATGTATACACATATATATATATATTTTTTGAGACAAAGTCTCACTCTTGTCGCCCAGGCTGGAGTGCAATGGCGTGACCTCGGCTCACTGCAACCTCCACCCGCCGGGTTTAAGCGATTTTCCTGCCTCAGCCTCCCAACTAGCTGGGATTACAGGCACCTGCCACCACACTCAGCTAAGTTTTGTATTTTTAGTAGAGACGGGGTTTCACCATGTTGGCCAGGCTGGTCTCGAACTCCTGACCTCAGGTGATCTGCCCACCTCAGCCTCCCAAAGTGCTGGGATGACAGATGTGAGCCACCACGCCTGGCCGCCTTTCATATATTTTTAAGGTATTTTTTATTCTATCGAATACTTTTAAAAGGTGATATAACAGTCTTATTTTAATGTGTCAATATTTAGGATATGCTGGGAAACACACCTTCGTTACTTTTTAAGTTTATGGGAAAAAGTTTAGTTGGCAACATAAAAATATGTGTGTGTTGGTACATACATTTTCAAGAGTAAGTGAAGAAAAAAACAAAAACCAAAACAAAAAACAATAGCTGACGATCACAGGCAGAGAGTAGCAGAAGGACCCAGACCATGATGGGGGAGGTAGAAAGGGGGTGAGGCTGATGTGTCATTTTGGACACATTGATAATGCAATGCTGTTGGATATAAAGACCGGGTCCTTGGGGCTGTCAGGAAATTGTGAAACAATTTGAAATAGGAGGAACAAGACAAGTAGGTGTCCTGGCATTGAAGAAAGAAGGGTGGGGCACAGGTGTCCCGTGTGTCTTTGCCATCATAGTGGTCTTCCACCTTCACCGCCTTTTTGATCACTCTGTACATTGTTGAAAACTTATAATAATGTAAATGATTCTTGTCCACGGAAATGCAAGTAAATCTGGCGAAATGCCACTGAGTGTTGTCTTGCAAATACACCGTTTCTGCATTTCAGAATTCCTTATTTGCTTTGTGTGTGTGTGTGCCTATGTATGGCTCTTGGAATTCTCCTTGAAACAATTTTAACATCTTTTTGGGTTACTCATTAATTAGTGAGTTAAATAAAAGTTATTTGCAGGTACCATTTTTATATTTGTATGAGAGTTACTACTTTACTTTTAAAAACAATATCCTTTAATGGGACCTAGATCTAGGATGCATATAGAGACGGGAGCCGTTGGCATCCCAGTGGTAGCTAAAGACAGGGACTGGATGAAATGACCCAGTAAGAATCTGCCTATGAGAAAATAAAAATTAAAAAAAAAAATTGAAACAGATCATGTGAAAGCAACAAAAATACAAAAACACTATCTTTTCCATCCTTACATCCACTAATGTTAGCATAGAAAAAAATTCACAGCAGTTTGCAAAGGCAGATTTTTAAAGAATGTGGAGAGCAGTGGTTCAAGGTGGCTGTGAGAAGGAGGTAGAGAGAAAGCTCATGGCACCAGTCAGTTCTGACTCGGTATGTATTTTGTAGAGAAAGCAACAGGTATCAAACACAGAGTAATCAACACAGAGTGTGTATCAACTCAGTCAGCATCCTGGAGGAAATTTTAATTTAAAAATACTTACCAATTTGGAAGGCTGAGGCACAAGAATTGCTTGAACCCGGGAGGTAAAGGTTACAGTGAGCCATCGCGCCACTGCACTCCAGCCTGGGTGACAGAGTGAGACTCTGTCTTAAACAAACAAACAAACAAACTTACCAATTATGTGATACTCAACAGCTCTGTTACTGCCAGCATCCATATCCGAGGCTAAAACAGTATAGACAACCTCTGGTTCCTGGTTTTCCAGAACCTCAATGTCATAACTGGAAACAATAAATTCTGGTGCGTGATCGTTTTCATCTTCAACAGTGCAGAGAATTGTTGTGGTGCTGGACAATGAAGGGAATCCCCCGTCTCGTACTAATACTGACATAGAACACAAAGACGGCATGAATTGTGGCCTTTGATTCATACCTAAAATATATTTGTTCTAACTAGACAAAGTCAGGCTAAACTAATCAGGTACCACTGGCTAAATAATATTTTATTTAAAAATACCCCACCAAAATGTAACATTTCACCACTGAACCTTTTTTTTTTTTTTTTTGAAGCATAGTCAAGGAATCCCTTACCTCGAAGGGTGAAGACTTCTTGAATTTCTCTGTCAAGCATGGTGGTTGTCACTACCTCTCCAGTGTCCGAATTTATCTCGAACAATTCAAATGAAGCACCTGGCATGATTTCAAACTGAAGCTTGGAATTGACTCCTTAAGAAAAATATAAAGAAAAACTTAGCAATCATTTCTTTGAAATACATTCATCCACTTTCCTATTTCTTTTCCTTTGAACATGTTAGGCCATAGATGAAAATGGCAAGATTCTCAAACAGCCTTTAAATTAAGGTAAAAGAAAAACTCTTCTGGCTGTTCTTGCTAAATAAAAGCCTCCTGGGCTGAAATGCTTGATTTTCAAAAGTCTTATGAGACTTCCCCACAGTGAATGCTTAGAATTTTTTCCTTCCCATAAAAAATTTCTTATGAGTGTGCAACTCTACAACATATTCCTAATTACTCCTTCTAACACCGCTGATTGTGACTTAATGACTTAATTGTAAGCTTGCAGGACAAATGACAATTTCTGCAGATTGACTCACTGTTTAAAAGCCTGTGCTAAGTTATAGAACTCTGTTTATTCTCAACCTCAAGAAGTGAGCACCTAGAATTGCTTATATATGTATTTCTGTTTGTTTTGTTTTCCACTTAGTGTTCAGTCTGCTATCCAGAGTAAGAAATGTGGTACCACATTACTACGCATTTTGGAAATAATTCTTCCCATATTTTTGTGGTTTCATTTCTCCCCTGAGAAAAGTATCACATCATTTCCATCACTAATAGTATGAAGATCATTCATACTATTAATTTTAATGAGTTTATCCCATGCCATTGTAATTTATTTGCATTTTACACAAGTTCCTCTCAGTTATTTTCCTATGTTCTTTTCTTAACTGACAAGAATCTAGGTGTGCACACAGTACTCAGAATGTATGATGTTATACTTTAATAAAAAATGAAATGTCATTCTTTTGGTCTTAACAAAAAATCTTCAATTACAAATTTCCATCTTGCCAGTCTTAAAAAGTAAATTTTCATTCCATTATGATCTGGCAGATATTATATAGGACTGAGAGCTGAAAGGAGTGAAATAGAATTCTAGTTTTATATAAGAATGAATATACATATCTTATTATTATATAACTCAGAGGAGAAATATATTTGAGATATAATCCGCAGGCATTGGAATAACCCCGAGAAAAAAGTCTAATAACATAGGACCAATGGATTTGATATGACATGGTCAGAAGTCACCAAAATGTTTCATTCTCTTATTAGGCATTAGGCATATTATTAATGATATTATTAAAGGATCATAGTGATTATTTCGGCAACTTAAGGATCATATAATCTATTCTATAGCAAAGACAGAATTTCTTGAAGTTCCAGGTTGTTAAAATTTGTTATTCCTATCTCTGCCTACATTATAAAAATGGGAACAATATTGTCTTATATCTACTTTCCTTTTCCTCAAGAAAAGAGAGAAATATCAGGTGCCAAGCATAGTACTGTGTGCCAAAGAGAGAGTACTGAGTCAGATGTGACCTCTGTTTTCAGAAAGATTACGTGGATCTTTCAAGTTTTAAATGAATGAAGACATTTATATGATTTTGTTACACTTTATATATACACCATTGCATATTATTTTATATGATTTTTTTACACATTATATATATGATTGCATATTATGTATATTACATATTATAGAATGCTATATAGTATACATGTTTTAATTCTCACTACTTGCCAAACCTAGAAAATGTCTTCAATTATTTACACATAAATTCAGATCTTTCTGCTGTCCCTTCCTCCCACAGTTCCCATTTTCCTCTAATGTGCTTCACCACTCTATTCAATATTTCTCAGACTTTCTAGAAACTTCCAGATTTTATTTTTTTCTATTATTCTACACAGGTTTTTTTATCCCTAAGATAACAATACATTCATCTTCAATCCTCCTAGTATATTTTTAAGGATAAATAAGATCTTTACCTATAACTGTAGTCTGCATACATGCATTTTTCATACCCCAAACTTCATACCCTTTACAATTTAGGAAGTAAATTAAATGTATTTTACTATGGCTTATTTAGAATTTAACTAGTGCCTTCGCTTTTCCTCCTTATACCCTTATAATCCTACATAACAAACACAGCATCATCAAACTTGAGAACTAAGAAAATAAAAATTAAAAAGAGGTTATTTGGTCTCATTCTATCACCTCACTGAGCAAACTGGAAATTTGGATCTGAAGATATTTAGTGATATCCTTATGACACATGCCCACTGAAGGATATGTGTGTGTGTGCCTGTGTATATATGCCCATACCTATGTGTGTATGCACGCCAGTGTGAATACACACACACACACACACACACACACATCTTCTCTTAGACCTCAAGACCTGCAGTCCCATGACTTCTTAATTCCTCCCGCCCTAGGATACCTCTCCTCAATTCATTTCTCTCCTTCTCCAGTCCAGCCCCATGAGTTACCCCTCTAGCAATCTTGCATAGTTACTCAGGTCCTGGGGCTTTCTGCCAAAGATGTCCAGCAAAGCTTCAGCCTGGGATCATTGCAACCATCTCTTTACTCCATTTGAATATCCAACGAATGACTGGAGCTACAGAAAATTTCACAACAGCATGGATTGAGACAACCGCAGTGCCGTTGTATGTGGCAATCTTTCCAGGTGTCCGTAATCACCCTTCTTCCATTCAGGTCTCCTACCTGACCACTACCTGGCTTACTCTCACAGATCACTTCCCTTTCCATTTCCCAGAGAGAAAGGAGGTATTCGGAAAGAACTCCCTCACCCTCTGCACCTGTACTCAACTGCATCCATTACACCCTGTCTCAGTGGCAAAAGTCATTCTTCAAACACACTCTCAGAATTTTTCTGTCAGGTCTAGTCTTTCTCCTAATTTTTTTTTCCTTAAATTATATCCTTCTCTAGCTATAAGAATTAGGCTTTTTTCTCCTTCTCTTTGTAGCCAAATTTCTTTTGAAAATCATATTCAGTTTGCAGCTAGCTTCAAACCATGCCATTCCCAGTTACTCTTTCTACAGTGACCAGTGACCTTCTGGTTATAAAGTCTACTGGCCATTTCTAGTTCTTACCTAACTTGTCTTTTCTGTGGCATCATATATGGCTGACCAATATTTAAAAAAAAACAGAAAGAAAGAAAAGAAAGAAACAAAAGAAGGGAGGGAAGGAAGGTAATGAGGAAGAGAGAAGTAAAAAATAAAAGAAAAATAATATTTTTGTTTGTTTGTTTCTCTATGACATATTTTTCTCCTGCTTCCGGGAGTGGGGTGCATTGACAATCAATGTGCTGGCCATCACGCCATTGTCATCTCACTCTACACATTCATGTCTTCAGTTTGCATCCATATCTGTTTGATTGGTTCATTCATTTATTCATTCATGAGTTCCTTTATGAATGCACAGATACTGAGTGTCAGGTACTAGAAACACACCACTGAATAGTTACCTTGGTTGTCAGAGTTTCCCTCTAGAGGGGAAGATGATTACATCAATGAGTAATGGAAAGTGTGATGGAATATATGAAATCACTGAGGGAGTGGATCAGAGAAGACTTATCTCAGGTATGTAGTTTGTCATTAATTATCTCATTGAACTAACATATATACAGAGTGATCTTACGTGCCAAGGTACCATACCATATGCTAAAAATATAACTGCTAGTAAACAGACAAATTTTCTATCCTCACGGTGTTTACAATATAGCACTGGATACAGATAAGCAAGCTGGCAGTGACAATTCCCCCTGAACAGACATGATGGGTAAGTTGAGTTGCCTTGATAGAACCGGAAACCCTAAAGATGAATAGGAGTTAATGGGTAAGAAGGAAGAAAGAATGTTTGAATGAGTTCAAAATAAAATCCAAATACCTTACCGCAGTCCGCAAAGTCCCATATGATGTGGGCTCTGCATATCTTTCCAACCTCTTCTCATGGACTTGCTCCCTTGCTATATTCTTATCCTACTGGCTTCCTTTCTGTTCTCTGAACATACTAAACATCTTTCTGCTGAGGCCTCTGTAGTGGCTGTTCCCTCTGCCTGCTCCTTTCAGTTCTTCACATGGTGTATTATTTATTAAACCATAGTGTCTCAGATCCAAATCTGTTCTTCTGTACTCCACCCTGTGATACTGGGGCTGGGGATCTGCAAACCACATTCTCCATCACCAACTACCTCTCTCCTAGGGTTTGCCACAAAAGGACACTAGAAGGAGACTGAAAGTCAGAAGGATAGAAAATAGGACTTCCTTCTTCCTAGTTACTTACTGTCATCATCAACAATGCTATTCAGTCTGTTTTGCTACCCCTTTTCAAGGCCCCCTCTCTCATTTTCTTCCTAGGCTCTGATAATCCAAACCTCTTCTTCTTTTCCAGTATTAGGGGTGGTAGCTGCCTTCTAGAGTTTTGTTTTTGTCTTTTTGGTTATCTCAGTATTCCCTTCTTGCTTACTCATTCATCCAACATCTGTTTGTAGCATCTATTCTTCATGACTGAACATGGCTGATAGAGTACTTGGCACCAGAATTGGGTCTCAGATAACAGGGACTCTGAGACTGGTTTGGTTTGGTTGTGTCTTAGGCTTTGAATACAGCGATGAGTTCCTTAACCATGGGAAATGGAATGCTAGGAATTCAATACTTGGAGCGCTGTCACGATTAATTAATTTATCAATCATGTTTGACTGTGATAAAGTGACTACTAAAGGACTCAAATTCTTTAGAGAACCAAATGGTGCTGACTGACCACATACTAGTAAAAAGGACCATGATGCAGAAGACTGTTTTTCAAAGGACTAGGAAATTATAGAAAGATAACTACAAGCTGAGGCTTTAAATCTGTAACTCAAGTCATAGTTAGAAAGCTGGAAAGCTCCTATATAGAAGGCCTAAAATTAATCTCCCTGAAGATTGGACCCAAATTGAGTGGCAGGTATAACAAACACCTTGCAAGGAGATGCCTATTCGTATA